AAAAAAAAAAAAAAAAAAAATTATTTTTAAAGGAAGCAGACGTATTGGAAGCAATTCCAAATGTAGATAGGTAATATGGATTGTATATGATACCTGCAGTATATAATTTTTAAATATGTTTGCTTGCAGGATGCCATGGCTTTTAATAAGTTTAATGTTCTTCACTGGCACATAGTCGATGACCAGTCTTTCCCATATCAGAGCATCGCGTTTCCTGAGTTAAGCAATAAAGTGAGTAAATTGTATTGTACTCTGTCTACAAAAACACTGGGTATAGTTTCATTACAAGTTTGTAACTTAAATGTTTGTTCTTATGGATAGAATCAAAGTGTAAAAATCAGATGTTTATGGTTTTTAATTTTTTTTGGCTGTGACTTAGCATTTTACATCCATAAAACTGTTTTTTGTTACTGTTATAACTGTTACTGTAATTGTTATTGTGAATATAAACAATCTCTGGGGAAGTGTAAATCGAAATTTAACACCTTAAGGTAGAAGCCCTGAATAATTCTCAAATTACATATGGTTAAGATAATATGTTTATCAAGTTGTCCAACAGTGTATTTGTTTTAAACATAATTGTTTGGAAATCCATAAATGACTATTTTTCTCTGAGAAACTACATGAAGTAGGGAATTTTAGAGGTGAGAGTGTTTTCTTAGAAAATAATGGTAGTCTCAGTTAACAGTGTTCAAATTGACTGTATTACGGACCAGTGGAGCTGGGAGGGACCCTCAGTGTCCCCTAGTTTAATATCCCTGTAATACAAAGAAAGGTACCTGACATCCAGAGAAGTGATGCGTCTTGTCTAAAGTTGTGGTTAGGATGGGACAGAGCCAGGAGTCTAAATTCTGTCCTCTGGCCATAATTCCAAAACTTTCTCCAATGTTATATATGTAGGCTAAAATGTGCTAACAGCACTTATGTTTTTGTTTCCTTTTGTTTTACTTTTTATTATGGCAAATTTCAAACATATACAGATATAGAATAGTTTAATGAATTCCCATGTTCTGATCACACAGGTTCAAACATGAATACATGGTCAGTCTTGTATCACTTAAACTCCTGCAGACAAGCCCTGCCCCATCCTGTTGTTTTGAATAAAATCCATCATCATATCTCACTGTCAAAAGGCCCGTTCTTTAAGAAAAAATAACCATAATACATGATTGCAGCTAAAAAATTAACAGTAATCTAGACAGCCAATCAGTGTTCACATTTCTCCAAGTGTCTTTTCCTCTTATTTAAAAAATTATTTTAAAAAATTTGCAGTGGGATACAAATAAGCTCCATAATTGTGGTGAGTTAATATGTCTAGTAATTCTCTTTTGATCTATGGGTCCCCTCTTCCCACCTTTTTCTCCTGTAATTTGTTGTTGAAGAAACTGAGTCATGTGTCCTACAGTTTCCCACAGTCTGGGTTTTGCTGATAGCACCCCATAGTGTCAATTAACATGTCCCTGTATTTACTATAAACTGGTAGTTAAATCTAGTCTTGATAGAAATTTGATATGCGGTGCTGGGAGACAAGACTACTTTTCTGCCATTGAGCACTTATAGCCCATAGTTTGAGAAATGTACTAAGGAACAGCTTTGATAGAACTTTAGTTACAATATTGAGTTCTAATTTTTCAAGTGACCTATAAAGGGACTGAGGTAATCATTAAAAACCAAGTCACTTATTACAGAGTCTATATGGGAATTTTTCAAGCTGATAGTAATTCAAGCTGATAGTCCTTTGCAGGACAATAGCTATGCTTTGTAATAAGGTGTACATTTTGACTCTAAAATTGACAAGAGCAGTGTTTTCAGAAGTCTCACTTTGGAGACATTTGTTTTGTTGTATGCCTACATGGAAGTTGAAACAGCATGATAGTAGACACTCTTGAAACAGGGGGCACTGATGGAGACAGATATTTCTACCAGTAAATCTGGGATTAGCCCAAAGTATACTGAGAATTTATTGCTAAAATATGGTAAACAAATGATTTGACAAAAGCCCCAAAACGGCTATCATCCTTTGAGTATGTGTGACTTAGTAGAAATTTTCTTTCGGAAATTTCCTACTCCTGAAACTATGGCCCTATATTATTTTTAAATGAGTCCTCTAATATCACATTAAACTAATATGTGAAAAAATTCGCTGTCAGATATCAAATGCAAGCACAATTGTTATAGTGAAAAAATTCATAGTGAAAAAATTCGCTGTCAGATATCAAATGCAAGCACAATTTTTAATTTCCAGGATCAAATCTACATTGTACATTTTAACTTGAATAAATATGACTTTTACAGGGAAGCTATTCTTTGTCTCATGTTTATACACCAAATGATGTCCGTATGGTGATTGAATATGCCAGATTACGAGGAATTCGAGTCCTGCCAGAATTTGATACCCCTGGGCATACACTATCTTGGGGAAAAGGTAAGGAGTTGTGTTTTATTTTATCTTATTTTTTATTTTTTGAGATGGAGTCTTGCTCTGTCACCCAGGCTGGAGTGCAGTGGTACAATCTTGGCTCACTGCAACCTCCACCTCCCAGGATCAAGCAATTTTCCTGCCTCAGCCTCCTGAGTACCTGGACTACAGGCATGCGCCACCATGCCCAGCTAATTTTTGTTTTTGTTTTGTTTTTTGAGATGGAGTCTCGCTCCATTGCCCAGGCTGGAGTGCAGTGGCATGATCTTGGCTCACCGCAACCTCTGCCTCCCAGGTTCAAGAGATTCTCCTGCCTCAGCCTCCTGAGTAGCTGGGACTACAGGCGCCCGCCACCACGCTAATTTTTTGTATTTTTAGTAGAGACCATTTTAGCCAGGATGGTCTTGATCTCCTGACTTCATGATCGGCTCGCCTCAGCCTACCAAAGTGTTGGGATTATAGGTGTAAGCCACTGCGCCTGGCCAGGAGTTGTATTTTATAAGTTGCAAAAGTAAATATTTGAGGTACTGCATTTATTTTATGACCTAGTGTTTGCTCATTTTGTTCTTAATTGTGATTGGTCTATCAGTAACGCTATTGACAGATACAATTCAGTAACTACTATGTGTCTACTGTGAGCAAATCATTGTGATTAGGTACTGCCTAAAGTATAAAAAAGGGAATAAAAGAAAACAAAAAGTGATTACAAAAAGTAGAACATAAGTGAATTCAAGAAATGGTTTCATAGATGAGGTGACACTTAAAATGCTTTTGAGTGATCACAGAATATATTCACGTTTCTGGTAGAGGAAATGGCATAAGGAAAGGCGTGCAAAAAGTGTAAGATATGCTTGACAGGTATGTAGCTGGAGTAGAGTGTAGCAGAGTAGGAGGCATTATAGGGTGATGATTACAACTTTGGCTTTGGAGCCAGACAGCTTGGGTTTGAATCTTGCTTCTGCCATTATAAACTAGGTGACGTTGGGCAAGTTACAATATCTCATCTTCAGTTTCTCCATCTCTAAAATGAGAATTAGTAGTAGCTATCACGTAATTTTTTTGAGAATTAAATAATGTAAAGCACATAGCACAGTACCAACATTTATAATTGCTCAATATTATTAGAGTAGACATGGGGAATAGTGAGAGGTAAATCTGGAAGAGTACATTAGAGGGTCTTTGGTGAGGAATGTGAACTTCATCAGGACACACTGGAAACCAGTGAACATTTCTGAGCAGAGGAGTAACATGATGGGAACCACACTTTTGGAAAACCTTTGGGAAAGTGACAGATTGGAGTTCTGGACCAGGAGGGTGATAGTGGGAATGGAAAATAATGGACAGAACTGAGAGACATTCTGGAACTATCCATGGAACTTGGCAACTGATGCACTCCAGGAGAGAGAAGAGGTATATACTCTAGGATGATGATGGTACCCTTGCTAGAATACGAAAATCGGAAGCTAGAGAAAGGGAGCTTAGGGACTGCAGATGTTGTGTTTTGTTAGCTTGTATTTGAAGTACAGTTAGGATTTCCAGTTGTATCCAGCATGGAATTTGAAATATGAATTGAAGCTCAAGAAAAAGGGTTGAGGCAAACTGAAGATTTAGGAGTTAACATTTGACATAGATAAAATCTCAGATATAATGGGAAACAAAGAGGCAAAGAGAACAGGATTCAGGAAACATTTCCTTCTTATTTGGAAGAAATTACTAGCTCTTAGTAAACATGCTCATCTTTTGTGTATATAATCTTGTAGCTTCAATAAAATGACATAATAAAATCATGTGGAAAACCAGATCTTTATAATGAGTTCACTTCTTTTAAAAAGAATCTTAATAATATTTTCTTCTAGGTCAGAAAGACCTCCTGACTCCGTGTTACAGTAGACAAAACAAGTTGGACTCTTTTGGACCTATAAACCCTACTCTGAATACAACATACAGCTTCCTTACTACATTTTTCAAAGAAATTAGTGAGGTGTTTCCAGATCAATTCATTCATTTGGGAGGAGATGAAGTGGAATTTAAATGTTGGTAAGATGATTT